ATCAGACTGGAACTGTTTTATTTACGATTTTACATTTATTTCTGTAATACTTACATTTATTTTTGCTATACCTTTTATAATACCTTGTAGGAGTGCAAACGTTGGTAGAGCCGACGTCAGAAGTGTGCATAAAGTAAGGGTTGGTGATAATTATAACATTCTCTTTTCAAAGTACACACTTATTGCCGCACCGTTTTAACATTTTAATGAAATTTTTAACATGAAGAAAACAATATTTTATGGCTGCGAGGTCAATTTTGTGTACGTTCATGGAATGCCACACTTCCTTGTTGATTTTATTGTGCTTGTTGTACTTTGTTGTACTTTCGGTTTTCGTCTATTTGATTTTCTAGTTGAGTGGGTCCAGTTTTCCTAATTGACTACTGTATAATCACTGTTAGGACATGCTGCCTATCTTTTAATTATTGTCTGGGTAAAGATAATAAGCAAGCTTCGTAACCTTTGCTCCCCTAAATTATCTAGGGTCACCGATATGATTGTTTTCACGATTAGGGCATTTTTGTACTTTCGCAGCTTTTCATGACAATGCACTAAAGTAGCACTTTGAAGTTTCCATGATAACCGGGATGATTCTTAAATTTTATCAAGTTCATGCTAGATGTTACATTCTGATCAGGTTCAAAAATATACCCATTTAAGGTATTTTGCCTTAAGTCGGTATTAAGGGCGTGGCGTTAGTCGCACATTCAAGCGGCACCAATGAATATGCTCAATCAAACCAAACCGGCATCATTATCCTCGATTTTTTATTCTCTATTTTGTTAAACATTCATTAACTTTGTTAATAGCCATCATGACAATAGACGGAGTAGTGTCTCGGTCTATTTAAAGGTGTAACCTAATTATTCTAAGTACTTCACAGGGACACGTGTAATGGAATTGCCAATCCTGGAAGTACTTTTACATCAAATATGTTTGTTTTTCTCTTTTCACATTATTCATTAAACGCTACTTTATTATACAGATGATAGATTAGACAAGACTAATTTATTCTCAAGGCTATCATGATCTATTAATAAAATCTTCATTAATGTTAAACATAATTTGTGATTAGAAGTATGAAATAATTATGTTTTGAATAACCCATGTCAATTACGTGATTATAACTATTATTAAATTGTTATATGAATGAAAAGATGCTATATTTGATATGAAATTACTAAAAAAAAGTATAAATAAAATCTGATGATCAAGTTAAAGTTAAGTACCAGTCATTACTAAAAAAGGTTGTGACTACAATTACATAAAAAATAATGTAATATTCTGTAAAATACTGCTTTGAGATCTTTGAATTATAAGACATCATTTTGAGCCAGGAACATTTTAATGATGGACGTTTTTCATGTGACCTTTTTTCTATATAAATAGTTGAACTGCTGTCAATGAATTCTTGGTTTTTCTTGATTTACTTCAAATTTTAATATTTTTTTTAAAAGTCAGTAAACGGAAAATCTCTCAAAAGCTACGAGTTTGATAATCGCAGATTCACTTTTTCAATAGATAATAGAAAAATATTAATAGCTAAATTAAATGTTCAACAATTAGAGTATTTGAATTTTAGAACAATATAACGACATTGAGATGAGGTATTGGTGAACTTTTGCTACCGTAGACAGTTTGTGTACACCTTGAAATAAATTTTCAGACCAAAATACTCTTACATTAATTATAATGTATAGTTGTAACTAAATCAGCTATATTTGCTGTTTTGCATCATTTTTTATGTAAATATATCTTGATTAAATAAATGGACACAACGATAGAATGAATTGAGTTAAACAGTTGAATGATATTGTAAATTAGCTGAACAAACAACCGGTCAAGTATGGGGGACTTTTTCTGACAATTACCAACTTGCCTATAGGAAGTGTGCACAGTATCAATATGTAATCCTACGTAAAACGCGGGTTATAAAATTTTATTTTAAACACGCTGTTGTTTAAATCTAAATTACTTATGAAAATGTCGTCAAATGATACTTTAAACAAAGGACATTTTGCAAAATCGTTATTCGGGGTACTCCAAATATGAAAGACCCTGAATTAATGCTTAAATGCACAAAATGTTCAAGTTTAAACTTTTGGTTTATTACTTAGTTTATATCAAATTCTTTTAAAAGTTGATTAATACAAATAAAATATATTCTTTCTTTGAGTTCCTTATTGCTTTTTGCCCTTCTTCTGTTTCTATGGAAATATCGTATTTTTAAAGGTCTATAGTTACCCTATATTGTTTCTAAATGTCGTACTATTTTGACATAATGTAATGAGAGAAATATGATCAAATGTAGCACGAATTTGTCATCGTGTGACATGAAACATTTAAATACTTGCAATCCGTATGTAATGCAAGAATTCAGATATATTTGTTGTTGTTTTTTCAAAACAAATTATAACGCAAAACAAATTTGCTGGAAAGGTCAACAATAAAAAAAAAATATCTATAATAAAATGATAAATCTTTATTTCTGTATATCATACTCAAATAACAATAACACACTATTTGATAAGTAAACTTATATACAGACAAGATAAGATACTCGGGAAATGGCACGTACTTTTTTTAAAAAGAACTTACATAAATGAAAGGCAAACATACTTTACACTTCACGTTTCATTAACACTTGTTACATTTGTAAAACATAGTAAAGATAAAATGTTTGCTCGTTTGTTTGTTAAAAGAATCTTAAAACATTTTTATGAAAATACAAGTTTATATATACTTAATTTCATTAGTAAGATATATGTATATATTTATGGCACATACATTTGGATGTAGTTCGTTTAATTTTGTTTTGTTTTGTTATTGTTTTTTCTTTCTATTATTATTTTCTTTTCTTTTTGTAATATATTTTTGCTTGTTTTTCGTATACCATTAATTACCTGTTAAGATTTTTGCAACGTGTATTTCTAGAGTCACACAATTTACAACTACATCCTGACGCATCGAAAATTTCATAGTATGGATCAGGGAATGCCGCATGACAATTGAGTTTCACTTTTTTTGTTTTCATCCCAGTGTAGGTGCATACAGGGTGATAACTGATTTTGTACGGTATTTTATAGTCCGCATACTGTAACAAAGAAGTAAAACCAATCATGAATTAACGGATCAAATTCTTGAAATAACATAAATGTTTAATTCCTGAAATTTTATGTTGATATTCTTAATATTAATCCAAACATGTTAAAAACTTACAAAGTAATCAAAAACTATTCATTATACTAATGCTTAGTAAAACAAATTACCTCAAAAGAAACGCAACGCCCCCAACACGAGTACACTGTGACCTCATCCCAACATGAAAGCATTTCTCCATTCACCTCGACTGTTTTTGAAGCATTAAATGTATATTCTCTTGGATGACATCCTAATATCCTATCTATATTTATGAGAGCGTCTGATGTACGGATATAACATAATGTCAAGGTCACTAAGATGCTTACACTGACTGCTTTTGCTAACCCCTTGTTTCTTAACACTAAATTCATCTGAAACAAACAATATTCGTTAAAGGAGAAAATTTAACTAATGATTATATCATGGAAACCATCATTTCAAAATAAATATTAACATTTTATAGTCTCAAAGCATTTTTAAGGTACATAAGTAGCCTACATTGTGTTATATTATATATTAATTTTTACACCAGTCTATAAATTGTCCTCAATTAGCAAACAAATATAACGGAAGTAACCTAACTACATTATGCAATTCATTTTATATTTCAAAAGGCAATAACTGACGGAATAAAAGTCAGGTCCTTAGCGAAAAGGATTATTTGTTGTTGATGTAGAAAGTAAAATATATTGTGCATTTGTGTTCCTAAAACAAATTATATATTTTTAACGTAGCTTTCATTATGTTGAATAAATGAATGAATGAATGAATGAATGAATGAATGAATGAATGTAATTTTGGGTCCGATGAAAGATAACTGTTAAAACTAACTCAAATTATAGAAAATGATTTCCGATAGAGACAAGCAATATCTTCAGATGTCTTTGATAACAGAAACTGTAAATGTGTCTATAAAAAACTATACACCTAACGGCACAACTTTCAATTTGCAAATTCTTTACATATAATCATAAAAAATGATTGAGACATCAGAAAGTATGTTATGAACATGTTTGATATAACCAATACTCACTCTGGAAGAGGTTTTTTGTCCTTCGTTTAAAATCCAATAATTGTAACAACTATGTCTTATCAAGCACGAATGAAGATAACCTTTATTCATTCAGGCTTGTATCACAATATCGTAGAATATTTCGTAAATCCACATCATATTGACATATGTTCTTCCAGTGCTACCATCGGTAAAATGTTGCACTTAACGCGCAAATTCTTGTAATAGCAGTTTGTTCAATATTAAAGGATGAATATACATATGTCCGGTGCATGAACATTATTTGCGATGTTCAACAATAATGTAGGCAAAATGTTTAATAATAATTGACATTTTATATTGATATTTCATAAAAGCAATAAAAATGGGTCAGTTCTGAAATCGTAAAACTTTAATCTATTTTTAAATATTTTTTAATACTCTTAAAATCCTGTTCTACGTTTCATTGTTTTCTTACACTATTTTAATTAAACAGTAATCTTCTCGTTTATTTTCTAGAAACTTAATCTAGTTTCCATTACATTAGATTATACGAAGTAAATCCGAATAAGTGATATCTTATTAACCATTTTATTCATAATTTGAATATGAAACGGCAGATACACCATTAAAGTTTCATAATCTTTTGAATACTGATGAATTTTTGACGCCGATAAATTGCACGTATAAAGTTTATTATTTGCTATATAGTAAACGGAATAATTAAATATTTAAATCTTAAAATCCAAATTTCTAATTATATTTTGATATCACGCATTGATTGTAATATTGTTATTTCTGGAAAAGATAATTAGTCCGAAAATGTTGAATGATAATGATGATAATAGCAGTAAGATGATATAAATTATAATTAATTTAAAAAGCTGGTCTAGGACATTACATTAAAAAAATTAAGATAAGTGCGGTAAGGGCTTATTCATGGTAAATAAATGTTACGTTATTTTAAACTTTTCTTTTTTGAATAACTAATTTACAATTTATATTTTGTAATATACTTTCATGCTAGAACAGTATCACATTCTTGTTATGTAATGTTCATGTTATGCAACTTTTTCGTGCATTAACATCAGCAGAATCACAAGGCCGCATCAAAACTACGAGTCTGCAGGGCTAGTGCGAAGTCATTTGACATTTTTCTTTTGAAAAAAAAACCTACCAGGCCGTCGTCGTATTAATCTGTTTCACATTTCACCCCGAGTCATGCATATAAAAACGCCTTTCCCTCACCCATTTCACATTTACAGAATTTACGAATAGAACAATAACTGTTTATAGACTAGTAAAAATCACATGTACATGCATTTAGCTGACATTCATGCCTGATTTGCTTTTATTATATGTACGTTATGTTTTATTTAATTCAGATTTACAAATACCTATTCACGACTTAATGGAAATGTTGTAACCAGATTAAGCTGTACGGAGATTGAAACAATTTATAAGGCTTCATTTGTAGTTACAAAAATGGATACATATAAGTAAAATAGTACATTTGCTCTATCTTTTATAAAATCACAATATCACTGCGGTATACCGTACCCCGGATATTGCTCGATATTATGAGGACTTTCATCCCATTTCACGACTTTGAACGGCGAACGAAGGTAAGTTCAGCGACGATATTTTCCAAACTAATGGCTATTTCATTTATCTCAACGGGTTTTATATATCTAGAGGTATTTTTGTAGCTCTAAAAGACGTAAAAGTATTACAGGTATTTGTAAAATTGATTAAACTACCCCTAAACGATCCGCTGCTCACTAGAAAGTACTGACCGTGATACTGTAGAATCGTTAGAAATTATTATGTTACCAATATAAAAAAAATTGAATCGAGCAATTTTTTTATTCACAATCCAAGTATGCTTTGTCCAAATTTCAGGCAAAAAGTGTGAAAGTACAAAAAGATACAGGCCTAAAAAGATACAAGAAAGTGTACCGAGTATTGATTTTAAGTGTACAGAGTATTGCAAAATAGCCCAACTTTAGTGTACAGTGTATTGCAAAAAAGAATGAGCATATTAAAATGGAAAATCGATATTTTTGTCTAATTTTCACGTCTGTTTATCGATTCCATTTCACTTTGCTGATAATGTACTGATTATATGATATTTATTCAAAGATTTCTGATTCAACAATGGATTTTCAGTGTTATTACTGTTCTTTTCCTACGGGCAAATACAGAGATTTAAATTCCCATTTGATAGAAAATCACACTATATATGAAATAAAGTGTGTGCAGGGTCGGAAGCAAGGTCGGGAGCAGGATAAAACCATCGAAATTGACGATAAAAAGCTTTAAATACATGTCTAAAAAAAACTGTGATCAAGGAGACCCATCTTTGAAAAGAAAAAGGATAACAAAACATATTTAGATGACATTAATAATAGGTTTTTTACAGGGCAAGTTTGTCTTAAGAAACATATCAACACACTTAGCATGGCCCGAGTGCTTATGCCGTCCAAGCATGCCGGTATCGTCTTAACCTTTTACTGCATGAGCATTGCGATCATTGAATTAGGCCTCTTGTTACAAGTTCAAACTGCTATGAAACTATAAAAATGCTTCAATACTGGGCACAAATGTTGGCTGGGCCATAGCCTGTAGAATAGCATGATCAATTTTAAATTTCCAGTTACCATGGCAACTGGGGGACGTCTCGAAATTGCCAAAAATCTCTATTTTGCGTTGTTTTGCCCATCAAAACTGATTTCAAGGTGCAGCAACTTTTCAATTGAATGAGATAATGTCTAAGGTTTTCGGCGTTGATTATAAACGGTACCTTTAAATCGACCTGAGACTATTTTAGCCCCCACCCCGACAAGTCCCAAATCTTCTCGCGATTAGAGGGGCTAATGCCCAACTTCAAACCCCCAAACAGAAGGGGCACAGGGGGTGGGGTGTAAAGCCTTCTATACGTAAAAGGTTATAAGGAACATAACCTTTTTATTGCATCTGCTGCCCTTTATCACAATCTTATCAAAATCCATTATTCGTTTTTTAGCTGTACCCGCTCGGCAGTCATGCGGTAACTCATTGCTAATGACGTAACAAATTTCACGTGTAGCAGGTGCAAAATGACCGAAAGTTACCTTTATATGGATTTTTGGCTTAGTAGGAAGTCGGTTGATATTAGATATTGGCAGACTTGCTCAATACCGTCTAATATTGACAATCTTGAGGCAGCATTGATGCACTTTGGATGCATCTTTTTACTATTTAAAGCAAAATATGCAATAATTATTAACAAATTCTGGAATGATTGATCCTTTGATAGCAACGAGAACTTTTTAAACACAGAAAATTGCTGAGATTTTTCATGAGCAGGAATGAAAATCTGGATTATTTGCAGATGTTTCCAGTAAAGAACCTCCGAACTCTGCATATTCTGCACATATAGTGTAAATAAGTTTACACAATAAGAAATATTTAAAATTAAATGTTGGAAATAATCTGTCTTTACTACTTTCATTTACTCTATATTGATAACCAATACTCGTTACACTAAAAGGCAATACTCGTGACACCGGCGGGCAACTCCAACGCAATACTCGGTACACTGACATGTGTATTTATTCTCAAAATGCACTGTAATCTGAGGTTCTTTTTTTGATTGAACATTTACAACATAAACATTATCATCATTATCACATTTCACTCGATTCAACTTTTCCTTTTAAGGAAGTATATTCACGAAAACATCAAATTTGACTGTTCCGAGCTCATTTATCACGTGAGCAAAGAGACGAATTTTACCTCCTAATTACATTTCAAAGCTATTTATCAACATTTTTGGGGTTTCAGTAACTAGAGAAATTATCGAAGTAATTGTTTTTCTATAAAATTAATATCAAACCAATTCAAAATGATTAAATATCGTCACTGAACTTACCTTCTTTCCTCGTTCAAAGTCGCGAAATGGGATGAAAGTCCTCATAATATCGAGCAATATCCGGGGTACGGTATACCGCAGTGAATATGGAAAATTATGTGCACCACTTGTCTTGACATCACTAAACATCTTGAATATTTTATATTTGAATAAATTATACGTTAAAAGAAATGAAAATAACAAATAAGCAATGAAGCTGCACGACATAATTGTTGTGTTTGCGTATTTTTAATTTCTTCGGAAACAACGTTTGACAATTGTTTGGTTTATTGACGTCATATGACGTGTAAGCATTCTTTTTTATGTTGTGCATAATGCACCTGACTGCGCTACCTGTATGATAGGGGAATAGTGTGAAGCTTATTAGAATATGGATCCTAAAACGACCGTATTTTTCCCTATTGCACATACTAGGGCCGAAAGTGGGTGTAAATATACAAATAAATCATTGCTGATATTGTATATGTAGACATGACACGTAAACACTAAAATGTTACGCGCTGAAAATAAGTACATAAACAAAACAGGCACAATTTAGCTTGATATATCAGGTACGGCAGCATTTATTTGTTGATAAGTCGAAATAATAAATCCCAATTTTATTCCTTTATAAAATCACTATTTGTCTTCGGATTCGCAGCATTATATCAAGAGGTCATAGCCTGCCCGCATCCGAAGCACACACAGTGATCTTATTTACCGATTAAATTACTATTTGGGATATATCATTTTTTAAATAACGCAAGCTTCCGGAATTTTCTGTTTATGCAGGAAAATCTCCGATAATGTTTGATTTTATAATGATGTGCAACAGAATATTTTAGTTTTTATTTACGCCCAACAGACATCTTAATGACATAAAATAATTATAAAAGGAATAAATCTGGCGCCAACGCTTATTTTTATGATGGTCTTATGCTTGATTTTATCTGTGTAAATTTGTATCTTATGATTTTTTTAATAAAATTTATCAACAGTAAAATTATATTGCTTCCATAACAATATGGTTGATTCCCCAAAAAGTAACATAAAATGTCTCTGTAATGTAACACACATGAATAATGTACATTATCCGGAACAAAATATTATTTTACTATTTGAAGTAGGGTTTTATCCGTTTTGCAATTACTTTGTGAATGCGCCACTCGCTTTAAGGCAATTAATTACCATATTTATTTCATATCAGCATTTTGTCAGTATTCTTTTTAAAATTCGAAACAATGATTTTTGCATCAGATATATAGCTTTATACACTTTAAACAGACAAGTTTCTTAAAGCTGCTGCCTATAAATATCATATAAAAATCTGGAAAGAAAGTGATCCCTCGGAAGCATTAA